TCAGACCTTGACAGTGCCCTCAGTGAATTCCCAGAGACAGAACCAGACATGGAGAGTCACAACCCAGCGGGATCAGGGCCAGGACAAGGAGACAGCAGGGTGGTGCAGTTACTGTCCTGACCTGACTGCAGGGCATCTGGGGTGAATGTAGACTGACAAGTAACTCTGGATACCAAGTCAAGGCGCAGGGCCTGACAAAAGGTCCTTTTATCAGATGTGAACTTGTGTGCATAACAAGTCTAACCAGTGCTGGGTCACAATCCCAGGTAAGTTGCACATTTTCACAGAGGCAGCCCACTTCCAAAGAAAGGGCATTGAACTTACAGCCAGAGAGTCCTGGGTTCGAATCCTGTCTGCCATTCACTTTGTGGGCCTGGGAAGTCATTATTCACAACCTCAGTTCCCTCATCCTTGCGTGGAGGTAAAAGAGTTCCTAACAATAAGATTGCTGTGTTGACTGAATAATATAATGTGTAACAAATACCTAGTACAGGGCCTGTCCCGAAGTAGACAAGCAATAAAGGGTATGGCTGTCATTATTATTATTGTATCATTAGCACTTAATGACAAAATTTAAAGAACCTAGAAGTAAGGATTTATCAAATATTTGGGTTCAGAGGCTTAAAGGCATTGGGAGAAATCAGCAAAACCAAAAAACAAATAAACAGTAATTTGTATATTCATAATCATTAGTTTCTTTATGTTAAAAAACCCCTCCCAATTGACTGAATAAGTATGGATGAATAAATTTATACAGTGGAATACTATACAGCCACTAAAATGAATGAGGGAGCTCTATGAGCACAAATATAGGATTGTCAGGATTTGCTGTTAAAAAGTAAAGTAATAGGATCCCACGTGGGGACCAAAAATGGGGAGGTGGTATAATACTTGTGCATAGGTGTAGGGAGCTCCTCTGTAAAAAGAAATTGGTAAGCATAAGCTGGACCCCCCCCACCCCGGGGCAGGCGCGCAGGGGGCAAGGACAGGGTGGGAGGAAACTGCATTTTTCACTGTTGGTGCCCCAGAACCATGTACCCATCATTGCCTGAATGTCTTCCCTAAATGTTCCCCGACACCTAATGTCCAGTTGGTTCCAAGCTGCACACAGCATCTTCCCTCTCCTGTACCCTCTTCTTCCTCCTAGTTCGACTTCAGGAAAAACTCTGGTCCTCTCAGTGTCTGGGCAAGACTTCTGGCTGTCCTATCTCCTCCACTTCCTCCATCCCCATCACCCACCTACAACCTGTCAGTCCCCATCCCTCACATTCTCTGCCCCACCCACCTCTTCTCTGTCCCCAGGGTCCCAGCCCCTGCTCAGGCATCCTCCTCCCCAGCCTCCCAGCCGCCAGCAGTCTCTCCCCCTCAACTCCTGCCCCACGGCCCCAGAGGAGCTTTCTGACACCCAGATCTAACCATGCCCCTCCCCTGGCTCACCACTCTCCCCGGCCGCGGGTCACCCTCAGGAGAAAGTTCCTAGCCTGGCCTTCCCAGCGCTAGGGGACCTAGCCCCGCCCACCACCTCAGCCTCGCCTTCCAGGCTCCTTGGCTCGCGTCCTCTAAGGCTCCGGTAAGACTTGACGGCTGTGCTGTTCTCCCAGAATCGCCCCCTGGTTTCCTGCCTTTGGGCCTCTGCTGAAGCTGTGCCCTCTGGCTGGAACGCCCTTACTGCTCTCGCGCCCGCCCTCTCTCTCTCTCTCTGCCTCTCGGTTCTGGGAGGTCATGCCACAACCACCGCCTTCTCCGGGGGTCCTTTCGGCTGTCTCCAGCGGAAAGGATTCCTTCCACCCCTGGGCTCCCACAGCCGCTGGTCCCTCCGTCTGTCATACCCCGATCGCCCTGGATTGGAACTGTCTGCGTCTGGGTCTGTCTCCTCCATCAGATTGTGAGCTCCGTCTGCAAGGGCAGATATGGGTCTGATTCACCTTTCTGTCCCCTGTGGGTGGGTGGGTGGAGAGACCCAAACGGAGGGAGGGGAAGGAGGCTGGGAGAGCAGAAAGGGGGAGAGAGAGGTGGGGGGGAGCAGACCCTGATGGGGTGGTGGTGGTGGGGGTGATGTAAGGAGAAAGAAAGGGACGCGGAGACAGAGAGAGAGGAGAACGCACACGGCCAGAAGGAGGCAGGCGGGCAGAGAGAAGGAAAGGGAGGAGAGGTGGAGGGGACGAGAGAAAGCGGAGAGCGGAGAGAGAAGCGGCCCCGGCCGAGGGAGGAGGGAGGGAGGGAGGAGTGGGAGCGCCGCCGGCCCAGCCGCCTCCCGGCCCCTTTTGTCCCTTCCCTCCTCCCTGCGTCACGCTCCCCGGCCCGGCCTCCCCTCCCCGCTCCCTCCCCCGCCCCGCTCCTCCTCCCCGGGG